AGTTGCCATTTCGACATCAGGTGCTGTTTACACCTGTTAGAATCATTCAATCATCAAAATTTACAGCACAGAAGGAAGCCATTCACCCCATCGAGTCTGCATCAGTGCTCATAGGAAGCTGTTCTTTCCCACTGCCCTGCCCTATCCAATTGCGCCTTCAAGCTGCCACATAAGAGACTTGTAGCAAAATAGAAGCCCCCGGTATTAAAGGGACAGTGGCAGCGGATACAGAACTGTTTGGGAGACAGAAAGCAGAGAGTGGTGGTGAACGGTTGTTTTTCTGACTGGAGAGAAGTGTACAGTGATGTCCCCCAGAGATCAGTATTGGGGCCACTGCTGATTGTGATCCATATAAATGACCTGAACTTGGGTATAGGGAGTACAATTTCCAAGTTTGCTGAAGATACAAAGGTAGGAAAAGTAGTAAACAGTAGTAAACAGTGAGGAGGATAGTAACAGACTGCAAGAGGACATAGACAGACTGGTAATGTGGGCAGACACGTGGCAGATGAAGTTTAATGTGGAGAAATGCAAAGTGATGCATTTTTGAAGGAAGAATGAGGAGAGGCAATATACGCTGATGTGACAATCTTAAAGGGGGTGAAGGGACAGAGAGACCTGGGGGTCATATAAGGAAATCTTTGCAGGTGGCAGGACAGGGAGATAAAGCTGTTAAAAAAGCATCCGGGATACTGGGCTTTATAAATAGGGGCACAGAGTACACAAGTCAGGAAGTTATGATGAACCTTTATATAAAACACTGGTTAGGCCTCAGCTCGAGACTGTGTTCAGTTCTGGGCCCCACACTTTACGAAGGATGTCAAGGCATTGGAGAGGATGCAAAGGAGATTGACCAGGTACCAGGAATGAGGGGCTTCAGTTATCAGGAGAGGTAGAGAAGTGAGGATTATTCTCCTTGGAGCAGAGAAGGTTAAGAGGAGACTTCATAGAAGTTTTCAAAATTATGAGTGGATTTGATAGGGTGAACAGGAGAAACTATTCCCACTGGCGGGTGGGTCGGTAACCCGAGGACACCGATTTAAAATAGCTGTTAAAAGAAACAGAGTGGAGGTGAGGAGAAATGTTTTCACACAGCGAGTTGTTGGGATCTGGAATGCATTGCCTGAAAGAGTGGTGGAATTCAATTCTATAACAGGTTTCAAGAGAGAAGTAGATAATTATTTGGGGAGGACAAGTTTGCAGAGCTATTGGGAGAGAGAGGGGGAGTTGGATTCATTTGGATAGCTGTTTTCAAAGAGCCGACACAGGCATGATGGGCTGAATGGCCTCCTGTGCTGTATAATTCTATGGTTCTATGATTTTATGACCTCTTAAAACTCACAACCTCCACCCACTTATTTCACGCCCCAACAATTCTCTGAGGGAAAACAATTCTCCTAAACTCTCCATTAACTCTTCTGGATGCTCACTTCACCCCACAGTCCCTTCGCCTCGCCCCCTCCCTTGCCTCCTTCAAGACCCTCCTCTTCAAAATCATGAAAGGTTTCGACAGGCGAGATAGGGAAAAGCTGTTTCCGTTGGTAGGTGTGTCTATGACTCGTGGTCACAGTCTTAAGATATCTACCAAAAGAAGCAGAGGGAAGGTTAGAAGGAATGTTTTCACTCAGCGAGTTGTTAGAATTTGGAATGATCCGCCCGAAAGGGCAGTAAAGTCTGATTCGATAACAGCTTTCAAGAGAGAACTGGACAGGTATCTGGAGAAGACAGGTTTGCAGGGTTATGGGGAGAAAGCTGGTGATTGGGGTGAGTGAAAGTCAGTTGCTCTGTCAAAGAGCAGCACAGACTTGATGGGCCGAATGGCCTCCTTCTGTGCCGTAACATTTCTATGATTCTATGATTCTATGAATTTGCTCTATTAACGCAATATTTCTGAGCGATCAGAAATTGTAACCTTGAAGCCCGTTTCTGGAAAGGAACTTTCAGAAGCATTTACAGGCTTCAAAGGTTAAAGACTCTATTTAAGAATTTGACAAATTTTGCTCTGGCTGAAATGCTTTTTTAGTGAGAGTAAATGTAGCCCCAGGTGGAATCGTACCCCACAGGAAGTGAACGAGATCACTGATCAGAACACCAGGACCTTGAGGAGGAATTGAGAAACTGTGTGTCGATTGCTTTTCAATTGATATCAGTCCGGCTGCTCACTCCCTCAACACACTCCCTTTCCTCCCTCAACACACTCCCCTTCCTCCCTCAACACACTCCATCCCTCAACACACTCCCCTCCCTCAACACCCCCCACTTCCTCCCTCAACATGCCCCCCTCAACAACCCCCTTTCCTCCCTCAACATCCCCCACCTCCCTCAACACCCCCCCTTCCTCCCTCAACACACTCCCTCCCTCAACACACTCCCCTTCCTCCCTATCTCTCCCTCAACACACTCCATCCCTCCCTCAACACATTCCCCGTCCTCCCTCAACACACTCCCCTCCCTCAAAACACTCCACTCCCTGAGCTCTCCAGACAACTCAATGCGTTTCTCTGGCAAATAATTTCACAAGTCCATTGGCTTTCATGTAAAAGTGCTTTCAATGGCAAGCTGTGTGGTGTCAGCTGTTAGCGACAGTTACCCTAACACACTCTCTGGGGTTCCCTAAACCACTGCTTTTGCCAATCTGCACCTAATATTCTCCCAAATGAGGTAAACTGGGTGCATCCCTGCGGACAGAGAGACAGTGCACGTTCCATTTCGAGCACGGGAATTTCCATGTGGAGATGGCATACAAGGAATTCTCTGTCTGGTTTGTAGACTCTTAAGCATGATAATAATAATAATAATAATCTTGCATTTGATGATGGGTTATTGCATGTATCGGATACCCAGATTCAAAAATATTTGTGCTCAAAGCTTTCCTCACAGAGAAAGACTGTGAGCACGAGACAGACTGAGAACATCCTCCTTCTAGAAAGAAAGAGAATGTTCCAGAATGCATGAAGGTGACCCTGTGTCTTGAACGCTGGTTCACTCACTATTAGGTTGTCAACCCCGACATGTTTCCTACTTAAAAAGACAATTGCGGATTGCCTTTCCGAGGATAATAATTCCTTCAAAAAATAATAATAATTTGGTCACTCAATCATCGACTGTTTGTAGGACAATTCTATGCGCAATTGGCTATCGTGTTTCGCCCACAATGTATAGGGTCAATTTACTTTACAGTATATTCTGTGAATCCCTTCGCAATGTCTCGATGGCGTGATGAGGCACTATAACAAGGATTATTATTATTATCTCACCCATCAAACCCCGCGCTGTGCTCGGAATCATGCTGCCAGATTTGAAGTGAGACAAAGTGATTTGAAGCTCATTGCTCACTGTCGTTGAGTGACCATCACTGACCCCACAATGCAGAAGCCCTGAATGTTGGTCGCTCCTGTTTGCCCGCTTATCAGGCAATACTTGGACTGTTACAGTACCCCCCCACCAACCCCATCTACCACTCTTTAACGGGGTTCACAAAGTCACAAGATTGGTTCGGATGAAGAAGACCCTTCGATCTTCTCCCTCCACAACACACACCCAACGTTCTCCCATCACAGCATCGAGCTGCTTTTTAAATAAGTCCCAACGTCCTGGTCTCGACCACCCTGTTCCGGTCATTAATTGCCCCCTGAATATATTTTAAAAATCCTGGTGTCCATCCTGAAATTGCTCTTCACAACTTGTGTTATGCTCCGTCACTGTCAAGCTCTCTAGGATGCTACCCTGCGTGAGAAGAGCTATATAAATGCTTGTTGTTATCTCGTTTTGCTGCATTCCACTTGCAAGCCAGAGGCTGAAGCAAAAAATAATAGGCTCTCTGGATCAGTCTCTTTACAGCCCCCATTCCAGCGACACTGATAATAACCAGCATTGCTCATCTCTCTTCTTCACAGAGCAATATAGGGATGGAAAAGACACCAAAGTGATGCTCAGCAAATGCAAACATTTTACAAATAAGAGAGAAGGGAGTTTCAGCTGGTGTCCTGGCCAACAATCCCCCCAATAAAATTGGTCATTCGATTCACGGCTACTTGTGGGGCATTGCTGGCTGCCGGATTCGCCCACAAAACACACAGTCACTACACTTTACGGTATTTCCTATGAAGTGACCTCTTTTGAGACCTCTTTCTGATGTGAAAGGCGCTGCATCAAATGTAAAGATTACGATTGTTAAATAAATACATTGTTTTTTCTCTATTGACATGACCGGTTTCTATTTGTAGCGTCTTTTCAGTGAACATAGAAAGAATAGAGCTCATACAATCCCGAACCACATTGGCCACTGCATTGGAGCGTCAGACTAGACCGCGTGAGCTCAAAGTCCCTAAGGCCTTCTGAAGTAAGGATAGTGATAAAGCACTCAATGCTCCAGGCGCTGGACTGATGGGGGCACCAATAAAACAATGCCACAGTGTTCTCGATCAGATGTCGTCCCACCTGCTCTCAGGATCTGTAGCAGCTATTGTGATGCACACATTTAACGTGGAAAGTTCTATTAGTGACTGACATCAGGGCTGGGTGTAAGGTTGAACAGAATCTTTACCCCTGTGTATGGGGAGAAATTGTTCTCATTTCTCATTAACAATTGAAACCAAATATCAGACAGAGGGAAATTCACACCGAAAGCAAAAGAAACAGTTGAAAAAGGCAAATAGACTCACTTTCTGAGCATGTTAACAGACTGAGGCACTGGGCCAAGGAGGAGGAGGACATAATTAGTTGATCTCAGCCGTGCCACCAGGAGGTAACTGAGAGTAAAGGTTAGCGCTTTCTCCCACGTGGAAGGATGTAGTTGGAAAACAAATTACCCCGAGGTCATTCTCTTCTAATTCTTAGCAGAGGAGTCAAGGTCATTGTTGGTAGACCTCATAGAGTCTACTGGACCAGGGAATGATGGTGGTGGAGGTGGGGAGATGTGTGTGTGGTGGGGGGCTGGTGCGGAGGGAAGCCCTGAAGAACATTAAAGGGAAAATGAGGAAGAGAATGAAGAGACTTACCTTGCTGGGATCCGAGGCGGTGATGACCCACACACAGTGAGCGTCGCTATCGTATTGAACTGGGAAATTGGGGGATGAGATGACTCCGCTGGGTCCCTGAAGGTGAGCCCCACACACTCGAGCTGCAACAAGATGCAAAACCGTCGCTTTAATCCTTTCCCAACTCTCCATGAGCTCACGGGTACAAATGGATACTGACCAACAACAACAATTTGCTTCTGTGTAAAATGCTCTACACATTAGGTTAGGTCTCGAGAGAGCTTCACAGGGGACAGTGTTCAATGCTGAACAAGACAGAAGTGGGTAGGGAGGCCATAGGCATGTTTGAAGAGATAGGCTTTGAGGTGTGTCTTAATAATAATAATAATCATTGTTGCATTTGATACAGCGCCTTAGCACGTTGTTGAGACGTCTCAAATCGCTTCACAGAATATATTGTAAAGTGGAGTGACTGTATATTCAGTAGATGAAACAGAAAGACAGAAAGAGAGAGGGTGAGACGGAGGCATAGAGATAGAGATTTGGGGGGTAGGGACTGAAGTCTCGGCCACTGATGGTAGTGCGGAGAGAGAGGGCATGGGTCATGCAGCTAACCTGAGTTTGCTGAGTGGAGGGGGTGAGCAGAGGGTAGGATAAGATCTGGCAAATAAGGAAGGAGGTGCCAGGGTGTGGGTGGATGTGGAGGAATGTCCAATTTACTGTATTTTCGAATGATGGTAAATGCTGGAAACAAAACAATTTGCCATTTCAGACACTGAGTGTCCCACTGGTGGCTACACCAACACCAAGTTTAACACCAGGTTGTTGCATCAATAGGTTTCCTCCATTTTACACACATCTTGTGGAGTCCTGTAGCTCAGTGGTTAGAGCACTCGCTTTGCAAGTGAGAGACCTGAGTTCAATTCCAGGCAGAGGGCGAAACCTTGGGCAAGTTTCCTTACTCCACACAGAGCCTAATAATGATCCCTCCAAAAAAACAAAACAATAATAAATTGGTCATTTTTAATCTACGACTGTTTGTGGGACATTGCTGTGCGCAATTGGCTGCCGCGTTCGCCCACAAATATACAGTCAATTCACTTTACAGTGTGTTCTGTGAAGCGCTTTGGGACATCCTCCCGACGTGAAAAGCGCTATATCAAATGCAAGGATTATTATTATTATTATTATCTGTGGTCTCTCTGATCAGGACTGTGAATTGCATACCAAATTAGGGGTAGTTTTATACACCGTGCTCACCCGACAAGCAAGTGATTCAAGCCTCATCGACTCCACTTAGATCCTTACTTTCCAGCAAAGAAAGGCAACTTTAATCCCACCAAAAGAAAGAGTCAGCTACAGGGGACTGAGAAAAGGGCAAGTAAGTGAGACTAAAAGGATTGCTCTTGAGGGAGCTGTACGGACACGATGGGCTACATGGCCTTCTTCTGCGATGTAAATATCTATGTCTAGACTGGATTCCAGACGGGTCTCAACAGAGAAAGGGCAAATGTATTGACTTTGTGTGACAACAAATTCCCAGTCATCAGCAACAAACTCTTGATGCAAACATGATGGATGAAGCCAATGGATCTTACCAACCATGACTAAGGCCCGATACGAACAGTCGGTCTTGTGAAGTGGAACTTTCCCTCTGAATGCTCGGAAACTGATGAATAAAAGATGAACCCTTTCATTAACCTCTGAGGTGCTAATCATGACATTTTATTCCACCGACTAGTCAAGGAAGCCAGTCTATAATGACCACCTTCGGGACTGTATTCCAGTGATCTTTGTGGAGTAGAGGTCTCTTAATTCACATTGACACCTGAAACATTAATTAATCTGGTACTGAGATTGTCATTATGCAGTGCTGTCAATGGCCTGCAATAGTGACCTTCGTGGAAGACAATAATTTACATTAAGGGGTAAAGGCCAGACAGATGAAAGTGAATGTGTAAGTGAAGTCCAGTCCACACACAAATTATTGCCATGCTTTCAGCCTGGCTCCCATGGAAATTAATTATTTTTGATATAACGACCAGTTCAAGGGTGACCTGGGCAGAAGTTTGATAACCAGCTCTCTGCATCAGTCAAGAACTAAATATGATGTGGGAGGGAACTAAGAAGAAGATAAATTTATTCCCCTTGTATTTAATGAGATTTTCAATGAGTGCCTTTCTGGATNAAAAAACACCTTTGATCCATTTGGTCTCATTTTCTGGCCACCCATCCTATTGTCCGCACATTCCAGAGTCCAGCTGTTTCCTAAACAAGTCCAGCACCGTAGGTTTAACTGTTCCCCTGGAAAACCTGTTACAATCATTCATCATTTCCTGGGGAAAGAAATATTTCCTGGTGCCTGTCCTGAAGCTGGCCCTCTCAGCCCTATTTGACTTATTTTTGCTGTGAAGGAATAAGGATGTGATACCTGGTGAGGTGAATATCATTGAAAATTATTGTGTAAGCAGTACACTGGGAAGCAATGTGAGACCACATTCCAACTGATCTCACTACCACATGGCTACCAGATGCAAAATTAATTTGAAGATCTCATCTACGTGCATTAGTACCTCTGCTCTGTAATATTCTTCACCCGTAACAACTTGGCTGTTCCCATTAGCCTTCTCCATGTCCCCCGCTCTATCCACCTCACCATCAGCAGCCGGACTTTCAGCCATTTGGCGCCTGCTCTCTGGAACTCCCTCCCTCCCCTCTTTCAAGGTACGTCTCAAAACATACCTCTTTGACCATCCCCCTTAAGCTCCCACTCCCGCTCTGGTGCCGAGCCAGAAATGTTAAACACTCTGGGACATCCTCCTGACTTGACTGTGTATTTTGTCAGTCAACATAACGGTTAAACCCTGTGAATATGTTTACGGTCCAAATACATGACCTACAGATGACAATAATTCTATTGCTGAAATTCAAGCACTCAGCGGAATTGTTCAGTGTGCAACAGCAGTTTTGGCTCCTGACCCGTCAATCAATTCTCGACATGAAAGACGCAGCAAGTCACAGAGATGAAGGGATGAGGGAGAGTAATAGCCCTGGGTACCTGTGAGGATAAAAGGCTGCCGTCTGACACAGCCTGATGAACGCACAATGATTCCTCACCTCGGCAGAATGGCCTGTGATCACTCCATGCGGCGAACATGTCAGTCACTCTCATGCATGTGATGCTTTTGGAGCCTTGCAGCTCGTAACTGTCGTCACATGAGAACTGCACACTGGATCCCAGTCTGGAACGAGCAAATGAGTATCATCAAAAACAATAACCAAGTCTTATGTTTAATACAGCATCTCATCGCCTCATCAAGACATCTCCAAGCCCACCACAAGGTTTCACTGTGAAATGCAGTGACTGTTTTTTAAGCCAACACGGCAGCCAATTTGCACATTAGCCACAAACCCATAATGATAATAATAATAATCCTTGCATTTGATACAGAGCCTTATCACGTCTTCAAGACGTCTCAAAGCGCTTCACAGAATATACTGTAAAGTGATTTGACTGTATATTTTGTGGGTGAAACGTGGCAGCCAATTGTGCACAGCAGCGTCCCACACACAGTCGTGGATTGAGTGAACACATTATTTTTTAACATTTTTTATTTATGTTTGAAGGGATTATTACCCTTGGAAAAGCGATCCACCAATCAATTAACAACCGGGTTCCCACGTACTGCTGGGTGAACAGAGGCGTGTGGAGCTAGGGAGCTTGCCTACAGTTTCGCCCTGTCCGGGACTCAAACCCAGGTCTTCTCGCTTGTGAGGCCAGTGCTCTAATCAACACGTTACCGGACTCACTGATAATATTCCTTGCATTTGATATAGCATCTTATCAGGTCTTTGAGACATCTCAAAGTGCTTCACAGGATGTACTGTAAAGTGTGAATTTTGTGGGTGGAACATGGCAGCAGTTTGTGCACAGCAATGCCCCACAAACAGCCATGGAGTGAGTGACCAATTTTATTTGCAGGTCACCGGGAGAAACTCCCTTCTCTTTTCGAACAGTGCCATGGGATCTTTAATGTCCACCTGAACAGACAGAGCAACAACAAACAAACAAACACTGAAGTGAATGACCAATTTTATTTGGGAGATAGTTAACTAGGACATCAAAAGAGAAAATCTCCCTTCTCTTTTCAATCTTAGAAAAGAGGCTTAGCCACAAAATGTTCCTTTATATTGCTTTCACCTTGTGGCACTCTATGCAGCATGTTATGTCAGAAGTTAAGTTGAAAGGCTTAATCAGATAGGAACCCAGGAATTGCTGGATGAAAAGAAGATCAAGGTCCATCTAGTTCACCTTCTACCATCCTGGTAGTTGCATGATACAATAATGGAGATGTTGATAGCAATTAATTCTGTATGGATTAGTCAAAGGTATTCGTAAGGTATGATTCAAATACAGACCTTTCTAATGCTTTGGTTCTGTTCATTCTCATTCAAGTGACTGATAGATACAATGAACGAGAAGACTGAACAATCTCTCTATAAATTCACTCTTGATGCCCTGCCTCAGCTATGTCCCTCAACCCTCGGAGCTTAACCAAACTGGAGCGCTGAGTGGCAGACAATCAGTGCTAAATTTCTGGCAGTTTAATTGCAGTGGACTCGTGGCCCCTGGGACCTGGAGGCAGATTGTCAAACTCCATTTGATTCCAACCGTCGTTGGTGATTGCAGAACTCTGCCCCTCCATTCTGCCTGGGTTTTGTGTTTGCAGATGAAGATAAGAATCGGTATCCTCAAGTTCTTCAAAGTCTATTTGAATTCCTCCAGAACAATGTAATTGACCCACTTGATCTCTGAAGAGATGGGAAGAGAAGGGTGTACACTCAAAGTGATATATTCATAATGTGGACATCGTTATGCTCTTCAAATGCTTAAGTCCCAGTAATTGGTGAGACTTTGATTTTGTTGGACACCTTGTTCTGAATGAATAAACAGACAGGAGGACTGATTTGAAAAGCTAAGCAACAATAGAGTTGTTACGGTCTGGAACACACAGCCTGAAAGGGGATGGAAGCAGATTCAATAATAGCTTTCAAAAGGGAATTAGATACTTGAAAAGTAAGTATTTGCAGGGCTCTGGGGTAATACCCAGGGATAGGGACTAGCTGGTAGTTCTTTCAAAGAGCTGGCTCAGGTACAATGGGCCGAATGGCCTGCTTCTGTTCTGTAAGATTTTATGAATATGATTCTTTATTGGAAAGCACCTTCCGTTGGAATTACTGACCTTTTACATTTCAAAGACTGATGTGGTCAGCATTCCTGGATGCAGAGTGAGCTCTTTCACCACCACCAAAACAACAAAATTACATTTGTATAGCACCTTTCACATTGGGGGGACGTCCCAAGGCACTGGACAGCAGAGTTAAGGACCCGGGTTGAGGGTCGGGATGGGGGGATGAGGGCAGAGGGGAAGCAGAGAGATCGAAAGCCGAAGAGGAGAGGTCAAAGAGGAGGGTCTTGAGGTGGGTCTCGAAAGTGGCGAAGGGAGGGGTGAGACGGAGGGACTGTGGGATGGAGTTCCAGAGGGTGGGGGCAGAGTGGCGGAAGGCCCACCCGTGGGGTGAGCCAGGTGGGGGACGTGAAGCAGGGAGCTCCTGCTGAGCGGAGGGAGCAAACAGGATGGTAGGGAGTTTGGAAGTTAGAGAGGTAGGTGGGAGCAAGACCATGAAGGTGAGGACCAGGATCTTGAACTGTATCCTCTGTGTGATGGGAAGCCAGTGGAGTTGGGCAAGGATGGCGGTGATAGGGTTCTGGATGATCTGCAGCCTGTGGAGGGAGGAGTTGGGGAGGCTGACAAGCAGAGAGTTTGCATAGTTGAGCCTCGATGTAATGAAGGCATGTATGAGGGTTTCGGTGGCCTGTGGTGTGAGACAGTGGCGGAGCCAGGCGATTTTGCGGGGGTGGGGAAGGCAGAGTGGGTCATGGCAGAGATGTGTGGTAAAAAGAGTAGTTGAGGGTCAAACAAGACCCCAAGGTTCCGGACTGGCTTAGCAAGGTTGAGTGTGCAACCATGGATGGTGATGCTGTCAGCGCCTGAGGTGCGGAGGACACGAACGACAGCTCTAGTTACACGGCAACTTCAGAAGTCCTGTAGCTCAGTGGTTAGAGCACTCGCATCGCAAGCGAGAGACCTGGGTTTGATTCACGGCCGGGCAAAACCTTTGGCACTTACTCCACACGCCTGATAATAATCCCTCAAGAAAAATAATAATAATAATTTGGTCACTCAATCCACGACTGCTTGAGGGACGCTGCTGTGTGCAATTGGCTGCCGTGTTTCACCCACAAATATACAGTAAATTCACTTTACAGTATATCCTGTGAAGCGCTTTGAGACGTCTAGAAGACGTGATAAGGCGCTTTATCAAATGCAAGGATTATTATTATTAACTTAAAGCTTCTTCTAATTTGGCCCTATTAGCATACCTCAACATGAATGGTCCTCTGTTACTGCTCCCAGAGCTCACAGATCACATATCATCAAGGACGTTCCCAGTAAGATTTTGGTGTCAATTAGTGCTTAATTTTGCACAGTTTTATTCCAGTCCTAAACATTGTGCCCATTGGGAACTGCACTGAAACGATCCTAAGCTCATTCCATTTCAGACTGTGACAGTCAAGAAAGAGAGAGAAGCCTTTCATGCCAGCTGACTTGACTGGGTTGAAACCCATATCACAGAGATAAAAGAGAAGTGTGCAGTCCCTAGTCCTCTGATTTCTAACTTAAAATACTAATGTGCTGCCTTGTCACAGTCAGAATGGTAATTTGCACTTTTTTTGGAGTTGTTTTTCTTGAATTCTCCAATTATGTTTTATTCAAGGCAGTATTTTTTGAGCAGCGGCGTAAAGCAAAGTAGAATGAAAGAGAAATAAACATTCAACGCAAGATCTTTTCGGGCAATAATCTTCAATTGTGTGACCTTCGAGGTCCCGCTAACATTGGGAAGTTATGATGCATGGATGTTGGTACAATACAGTACAAAATATAGCACCTTTCACATGGGGAGGGTGGCGGAAGGCTCGGTTGAAAAAGAGGGTCTTCAGACATGCCTTGAAGGATGCAAGGGAGGGAGCGAGGCGAAGTGAATGTGGGATGCAGTTCCAGAGGGTGGGGGAAGAGAGGCGGGGGATGTGGAGTAGGCCGGAGCCTGCTGAGCGGAGGAAGCGGACAGGTTGGTAATGGGTTAGCAGGTCACAGAGGTACAACTCAGAGCAGAGTATCAGATGGTTGTGGGTTCAAGCCCCCACATTGGGGACTTTGAACTCCAATTCCTGGCTGACTCTCCAGTGTATTGCTCTTGGGGGGAGAGTGCTGCATTGTTGGAGTTGCTGTATCAAATGCAAGGATAATTATAAAAAAATTTCGGAGCTCAACTCTCCAGTCCCTCTGAAGCTGCAGTCAGACTCAGTGTTAGGCATGAAAGTGCTGGGGGGAGCATTTTTTTAAATGAAATTTTATCCTCTCTGATGTAAAGTTTAACATAACTTTTTTCCTTGCTTTGGTCCTTTTTACCTCTCCTGAAGGTACTAGACATCCAATTTATTTGACTTAACAACCTCCAGCTTGGGTGCAAACCGGCTCCACTGGCTCCCCATGCCCCAGAGGATAGAGTTCAAAATCCTTTTGATAGTGGTGGGGGGGTGTGCACCCTGCAACAACTTACACATTATGCACACCTGAACCTTGACTGTGAATATTTGATGATGGCATCATCATGCTGTTCCCATCCACGCGCCTCCAACCACAGCAATCAGGAGCCCACAAACCAGCACTTACAGTGGGCCTGAGATCAGCTAACTCGCTTCTGACCTAGATACTCGCTGGGTAAACTGGTTGAGAAATCAAGAGAAGCCCATTTTTAAAATATTAACAGGACAACGATCCTTGCATTTGATGCAGCGCCTTTCACATTGGGAGGGCATCTGAAACCCACTCCCGCATGGGGTTTGAACCCACAGCGTTCTGACCCGGCAGGTAAGAGTGCGACCAATCGAGCCAGGCTGACATCTATTGACTTCCAAACAGAGGATGGTCGTTACCTGACCTCGCTGCAAATAGAATCCGACTTGCCTGAAATCCACTGATAGTCATTCATTAAAAGGAAAAGTGGTGACATTAACTGTCAGGGCAACAAAGGCAAAGAAACTGAGCTCAAGTGCATTGAAAGACAATGAGAGGAGTGAGCCTGGCAGTGAGGCCCTCTCACACAGAGAGAGTGCAGT